AAAAAAAAAAAAAGAAAAAAAAAAAGAATTGGTTTATAATACTCACTCACCAAGTTGTTTGGTTTAAAACACAGTTTTTTTAAAATATTGGGTGATTTTTAAAATGACTCAAGTTTTTTTTTCTAATCAACTCTGGGGGGAAAAATGTATTAGGGCAGGCAGATGAAACCTTTAGCTAAAATGAAAGTATAATATTGTAGTAAGGTATAAATCTCACCAAAACCATGTTTGTAACTCATTTGCACAGGCACAGAGTTGCCTGTGGAAGGCTTAGCTGAGGAACTGTAGCTAGTGTGACCACCAAGGCAGCTTAGTTCCAAGTGTGAGCTCAGAGAGGTGATCCCCAGAAGTAAAACCATTGGATGCTCTTCTCAGATAAGGAAGGATAGTGAATCTTCATTCATCACGCTCTGGAAAAATCTGCTCTCTCTACCATATCCTATGACAGAACATTCTTGCCAACTTCTTTTTTTTTTTCCCACATGTCCCTACTCATCAGTGTCTGAGTTTCCAGTCAGTACTACCGGGTGATGACACCTCTTCCCATCGCTAGGGTGTACACTGGTCCATTGGAACTGAGCATCTATTTAGTTTTCCTAACGTCGATAGGCACATACTGTACCCCTCCCAAGATGCTATCATCCTCTGAGAGCCCAGAGAACACTGAGGCAATACATCACAACGTCCCCAGAAAAGAGCATTTTCCCAATTCTACACTTATAAATCTGTAAAATGTTCCTCTGACAATCTTTAGTAAATAGTGGTAAAAAGCCTAAATTCATTTTCCAACTGATTGAGTATCGAATGCAACATGGGTCAAAGTTTCAGGGAGAAACCTGGTTCCTAGAATGTCTGGAGCCCCTCAGCGTTGAGATTGGTCAAAATGATAGGACAGAAGAGTGGGGAAGGGAGAGGGAAGGTGGGGACGGGAAAGAGGATAAGAAGAAGGAAGCTACCAAGTTTTCTATTAAAGTGATATAAGCTAAGTCAGCTTTTCTCTCTCCCAGGGCCACAGATGAGACTATTTTAAAGATGTCATTACTAAAGCAGCTGTCTCCTTAAAGGTTCCTCAGGGCTCTCCTATTCTCTCCTCCAACAGGATCCCGGGCCCAGAGGTGGTCTCCAGGCCCAGCAGGCATCTCACATTAACCAGAACTGTTTGCCCGATCTGAACTGCTCCAATTGTGAAACCAACATTTGAGATTTATGAGTGAGCTATTCCTCGTCTTCCAGAGTCTACGACTGTGTGTGTGTGTGTGCGTGTGTGTGTGTGCGTGTGCGTGTGTGTGTGTGTGCATGTGCGTGTGTGTGTGTGTGTGTGTTCTCTTTAACTAGAGGGACATTTAGGGCCACACGTCTATCATCTGGCCCCAGTGATAAATATGGAATGAAGGGCATGTCTACCTCTGGATTCTCCCGCTCTTTTTTCCCATCCTATTTTATGGGGCGATTTAGCCAGCATAACCAAAGGTTAGAAAATCTTATATTTAGAATGGTCACTAGGTAATTTAATATAACGTCATTTCCTTTGATCCCTAAGTAGCCTGGGAAGTTAAGAAAGGTTTGTTTAATTACCTGTTCCTTTGAGCTAACTTTACTTTCTTCTGATGACTCACTTCTCTCCTAAAAAGAAAAAGAAATGTTTATTTTTCATGTTCGTAATTGATGAATAAAGATAAAAATAGGACACGCATCAATCGCTTGTGGTTTGGATTTACTACTTTCCAAACGGCCTGAGATGATGATAAGAGTGTGAAAGTGATTTCATGAGATGTTTATGATAAAAAAATCAATGAGATAGTTACCACAGGTGGTGTTGGTGTCTGAGCCAAAAGACCCTGTAAAAAAGGAAGGAAGACAAGTTACTCTTTCACAGATGGATCATATCATTGAAAACATGTAGGATAATTTTAGGTTTTTCTAGTATATTGATATCTATTTTGTAGTCACATGAATATTAATGCTATTTTATAATGAAATGGCTAAACAATGAATGTCAGATGACCAGTGGCCTGAAAAGACCTTGTGATATAAAAAACCTAGAAGATTTTTGTATTTCCAACACTTAGACCAAAATACAACTTCTTTGAAGAAAAATATACAACCTAGAGGAAATGTAAGAGAGGAGAAACAGCGCTGGAACTCACAAACCCTGATTTAAGTCTCAGTTAGCTCCTTGGCTTGGGTTTTAGCCCTGAAAACTGTCTTGATGCTAGCGCTGAAATTCATGTGTTCCAGGAAACATCTAGTCTCAGGTAAACTGCGATGGTTGGTCACTCTACGTGAATTTGCACAATTCACTTCACCTATCTGATGTCAGTTTCTTATTTGTAAATTAAGAATATTAACAAACACTGCGCTTATTGTACATGGTTGCTGTGAGGATGAAATTGGCTAATGCCTATGGAAGCATCTTGAAAAGTATTCAATATGATATAAGCTGAAGAAGTGATCCATTTTGAGAACATCTACTTTATAAAATTCAATAGCGGACAAAACTGAATTGAAAAAGCCATTAAACCTTTCTTGAGTCACGTAAGATCACCAAAATAACACATGCTAAATCTGAAACTTAGTCATAGTTCTGATTTATTTCACTTTCTTTAATCTGATGAGAACTCTAAGAATGCCTGTACCACTTCTGGTGCCCTCTCCCCATCTACTCTCCCCCTCGCCTTGAACATGACCAAATCCCAAATCCCATGTGGCTCAAAGCCACTGAGCAATGGGTATGAAGACCCAGGGTGCAGAGTAGAGCAGAGAGTAGCTGCTGTCAGCATGTCTTCAATAAGCCTCTCAGCAATGCTGGGCTGGGATAGCTCCTAGAGGAAGGACCTATCATCACTTAAAGTCTTTGCCCTGTGACACTGCAGCAGGCACCATGGCAGACTCTACCCCAGTCACTTAGCATCTGGAATTAGGAATGGAAGGGAGTGAGACATTGGTATTTTTCTCCTGCCAAGGCTAGACTTGAGAACACAGTGTGTTTGGGGAACTCAGGCTGAATGAAAGAAGGGATCCACAGCAGCTGCTTTTAAATAAACCAGCCTAAGGATATTCCTGATGAAAGTTCATGTAAGAAATCCTGCAATATCTATTCCAGCCTCAAGCAGGGGCAGGACGCCATCTCAGGCCTCTGACATTATCTGGCCATCACTAATATCATTGTGCCCTAGCTGTGTCATACCTAAAAGCCAGCAGGAAACAAGGTAATGAAAAAACATTCTGATTTAGGTTGAGATTTTAACCCTTCTTCCTAGAGTCAGCCCTTCATATCCATGGGTTCCACACCCACGGATTCAGCCAAGCTCAGATCAAAAATATTTTTAAGAAAAGGAAGAAAGAAAGAAAGAAAGAATGCTCCAGAAGTTTCCAAAAGGCAAAACTTGTATTTGCTGCACTCCAGCAAATATTTACATTGTATTAGGTATTATAAGCAATATAGAGATGATTTGAAGTACATGAGGATGTATGCAGGTTGCATGCAAATACTACATCATTTTATATAAGGGTCTTGAGTATCCACGGATCTTGGTAACCGAGGGGGTCCTGGAACTAATGCCCTGCGGATACGGAGTGACAACTGTAGTTCCAATCTTGAAAACCTACTGACTTCCTAGACCTGGCCCCTTCGAGGGATGTAACACCCCAGCAAAGAATATGAATTCTGGAGTCAGAGCGACCTGGGTTCAAAGTCTGGCTCTAACAGTAATTAACCACATAACCTAGACAGACTAGGTTACTCTCTGTGTCTCAACACAGAAAATACAACACCTAATTCACTAGGGGTACCGTGAAGATTGAGAAAGTTAATACATGCGAAACACACAGAACCGTGTCTGGCGGTGGTTGTTGAACTATTGAGAGTTAATAACGATTGGGTTATTCGGAGCCAACACTCAATAAACATTAGCTATCATTCCGAAGACCCTAGCATTCTCTCATTCTTCTTTCTCTTCTCACCTTCCGGGACTTGATCTCCTAACCTCCTGCCTACCAGACATCTGATAAAACAGACTTCTAGCCCGAATCCTTCAAGGACCATCTTGGTTCACTGTCATCCATCCCCTTGCGCTGCTATACAGACCCATCACAAAAATAATGCTAAAGGAGAAAATGCTTCCTCACCAAATTATACTATTAAGTTGGAGTTGAAGCATTATATGAACTACATTTTCTTATAAGAACTAGAAATGATAGCCCTTACTCCCTATATCTTAGGTTATTCATGTGTTCATTAAGTCAGTAGTAGTTTCCACATTTGCAGTGAAGCCATCTTGGTTATACTAATAACATATTAAAATAAAAATATTTCAAAAAAATCTTTTCTACTCACCTTCCATTCTTCAGAACTCTTAGATTCAGTATTTTGATACCTGGCTACCTAGAAAATTCAGCACAAGTGGTCGGCCCACAGAAATTTCCAAAGCAGCAGCTATTAGCACTTCACATACTTAGGAGGAGTATTAGTCAACTTTTAGCACGCATCAGAATCACCGGGAGGCCTTGTTAGAACACAGATGGCTGTGCC